AGCTTGGAGCTCCATCCCATCCCTAACCTCACAAGAGGGCTAGTGAGAGACTGGAGACTGACCAATCAAACCGATACAGTGAGGCCTTTATAATCCCAAAGCAGGGGTTCAGAGAGCAGGGAGGCCGCTGAACATGTGGGGAGCAGCATTCCTAGAGAAGGCATTCTTCACTCTTTCCCCTGAATCTCTCCTGATTTATCTTTTCTTTCTTTCTAATATTTAGTTATTTTATGTATAAACACACATCAGAAGTGGGAATCAAATCCCATCATACTTAATCTTTGGCTCTGACAATGACCCAGGTAAGTAGTCCAATATCCAAGTAAGAATTGTTTGGTGCTGGAATAACCTCCACCCCTCTGGTGTCAGACTAGTCTGTGCTGAATGGTTAAATGTGAGAGATGGTTTTAAATTTTTATTATAAAGAGAAGAGGAAAACTGAGTTATGTACAGTAACGTTTAAACTAACTGTGGTGATTTACATGAAAATGGCCGCCACAGCCCTTCAGAAGTGGCACTATTAGGTGTGGACTTGTTGGAGGAAGTGTGCCACTGGGGAAGGGGCTTTGAGGCTTCAGATGCCCAAGACAAGCCAGTGGCACTCTCTCTTCCTGCTGCCTGCCCACCCAGATGTATAACTCTAAGCTACCCTCTCCAGCCACCATGCTTCCCGTCATGATCATAATGGACTAAACCTCTGAACTCTCAGCCAGCCCCAATTAATCCTTTTTCTTTCTAAGAGTTGTCAGGGTCATGGTGTCTCTTTACAGCAACTGAAACCCTGACTAAGACACTAACTCTACAGAATAAATTACTTTTCCAAACATAGGATCAAATGCTCTTGGGACAAGGTCGTAAGTGATCCTCCTTCAGCTCACTCTAAACTGCCACCATTCTGTGACCCATTGTTATGCTGTGCCTCCATTCAAGGCTTTGAGACCAAAAGTGTACAAAAGCAAGAAATAAGGGCTGGAGAGATGGCTCAGTAGTTATAAGCACTGGCTGCTCATCCAGAGGTCCCGGGTTCGATTCCCAGCACCCACATGGCAGCTCACAACTGTCTGTAACTCCAGGATCCAACACCCTCACACAGACATACATGCAGGCAAAATACTAATGCACATAAAATAAAAATAAACAATTTTTTAAAAAGGATTAAAAAGCAAATAATGTAGTTATATATAATAATTTCTATGTAACAAAATAACTTTCACACATATGCATGCACATAACACACAAATAGCCAAAAAACAGCAACTTGGACCCATTAAGGATTTAAAAAGTGAAAGAATTTGATCTTACATGGCCTCAAGTTCTGCAATCTAAACATCCCCTTTGCCAGCTTTGCCAGTCAGAGTTTGTGGTGGTTTGAATAAAAATGGCCCCTAATAGATCCATAGGGAAAGGCACTATAAGGTGTGAACTTGCTGGAGGAAATGTGTCACTGCGGGGGTAGACTTTGAGGATTCAGATGTTCAAGCCAGACCTAGGAGATCTGACACCTTCTTCTGGCCTCCATAGGCATCAGGTAGGCACATGGTGTACATACATACAAACATGCAGGCAAAACACTCATACACAAAATAAAATATATAAATTATAAGAAAATACAGTTTATAAATGACCCACCAATTCCATTCGTAAATTTATAGCCAAGAGAAATAAAAATATACACCCCTGTTCATGAAGTTACGTAGTGGTAGTGCATGCCTTTAATTCTAGCACCTGGGAGGCAGAGGCAGGAGGATCTCTGTGAGTTCAAGGCCAGCCTGGTCTACAGAGTGCGTTACAGGACAGCCACAACTGTTACACAGAGAAACCCTGTGTTGAAAAACAAAACACACAAAAAAAACCTGTTCATGACTGCCCACATTAGCAATTCATTAAAAGTACAACAACCCAAATACCCACCTGTTAATAAAAGATAAATGAGACAAAGAAGTCTAGCCAATATAATTACTCAGTAATGAACCAGAACAAAGTACTGATATATGCTGAAACAGGGGTGAACCTCAAACATTACACTAAGAGAGAAAAGGCTGTGTGTTTATGATCCCATTTGCACACAAGGCTCAGACTGGCAATCCAACGAGACAGACGAGGGCTAAGGATTGCCCACTCTTGAGGGCTACATGGGCATTGGAAATGAATTGCTCTTGATTACAGGGTTTATTTGGAGAGTAATGAAAACATCCTAAAATTGACCATGGTAACTGATGTCTAATTCTATGATTACAGTAAAAATCAACCAACGGTGTAATTTAGATGCAGATATAGGCACACACACACACACACACACACACACACACAGAGAGAGAGAGAGAGAGAGAGAGAGAGAGAGAGAGAGAGAGAGAGAG